TAGCATTTCAGACACTCAGGAGACAGAAGGAACTAATTATGTGCTGCATGATAAGTTTTATATATATATAAATGGATAAATATCTAATCAATGCACTTTTAGTTATGTATCATTACATTAACCAAAAAATGTTAATAATTTTACCAGCACTTTAGAGTAGCCAACAAATGTTTATCATCATATATGTTTCAAATGTATGTCCTAAAGCAACGAGTCAATTTACCAAAAAAAAAAAAAAGTTTTAAATGCCAGGTTGTACATTAACAATAATTCAGAAACTCAAATGTTTCCAATTTGGAGCAAAGAGAGCAAAAATATGTTATGCAAACAAATACATTTGGAAATACATTTCTAAAAAAATCACCAAAGTTGGTTATTTTGCTAAAAAATAAAATATAATATTCCTTTTATTTTATTGTAGAATCAAAACTGGCCTGGAAATAATAATTTAGGGTGTATTACGTTATTGAGTATTACCAGCCTCATTGACTACAGCAGTTGTTTTATAAGAAATGTAATTTACAATTGGAAATGTGCCTGATAAAACAAAATGATGTATTTTTCTGAAAATATTTATATTTTTACTGACATCTCTGGACAACATGTACATGTTCCAATTGAGAGACAAAATACGATAGAAATACAACAAATAAATGTATTTAGACAAAGAAAGACTTAAAGATCCAGCAATTCTAATAAGTATTTATTTAGAAATAAATATAAAGAAAAGATAAATCTGACTATTTTTGTAAATCATAGTTTTATGTATATTAGGGGATTAGTGCAATTCTACTTCATAAAGTGTAAACCAGTGCCTTTTATCTTGGTTCTTTTCTGTGTGTGATATTGTTTTTTTTTTTTTTTTTTTGTTGCTGTTGTTTGTTAGAGTGACAAGTTGCTAAAAGATTAATGTAGATGTTTGTTTCAAAACATTGAATTATCATGAAAACGCGTGCAAAAATATCCTGTTTGAACTTGTTTGATGTAAAGATTTATTTAGCCTCCTGTATCTTCTGCATTGGTTGAAATCAATTTTGCATTATTCACCTTTGCTGCTTTTACCTGAATGTGCACCATACCCCAATGCTGAAACCTGCCTTATGTGGTTTGAACTTTATGGCATTTGGTGTTTTGTTGATAAACGAAAAACAATTTGTAAAGGAGGTGTTTGCTGTTAAATGTGTAATTTGTGTCATTTTGTCTAAAAAAATGTGCAATATAATCTATTTTAAAAGCAAATTAGTTATTCCTCTTCCCTCATCAGAGAGGGAATTTATTTACTTATTGCTGTGGAGATAATCTATCACTCATTTTAAGTCAATTCCTATATTTGAAAAATGAAGAGGGAAACGGTTTTGTCCTCTCAATATTTGCATTTTTTTTTTTACAGCAGGGGGCGACAGAGCCCTTTTTCTTTGGATTAAACTTAAGTTTCAGTCAAAAATTTATTGAAAAAAAAGACAATTTGTTGGTGTTGTTGTGTTTATTGTACTATTCAGGCAAAACACTATAACAAGAAATAAAAACAGAAAATAGTGAGTGTCTTTTCTATGATTATGTCTTGTGTGTTCCTCTGAAGCAGTGTTTCCCAACCTTTTTCTGCTTCTGAACCTCTTTGGGTATTTTGCCTTATCACGAGTACCCCCCTCAGTTAAAAGTATTGATGATTGTCCAAAACTGGAATGAACAATAACTGAATATAAAGTAATCTTTTGATGTGAGCATTTAATTCTTAGGCATTTTATTCTTTCCATTTCAAATAAAAAACAGCATAAATATGTTGCCTGGAAGTTAGTAAGTAAAATAAATCAAAATAAATGCCAAATAAAATCATATTGTAACCTGTATTTATAAAACTGGAGCTAATCTGAGTAACTCCCTTATAATCACATTTGATGAATTGGAACATGTTTGTGTCACTTATTTGTTCTTAGATCAAAAATGTAGGTACTTTTTGGGATCTTTTAGTTTATTTCATGTTGTCAGACAGGTTCTCTCTAGCCCATTTATATGATATCCATGTTTAGTACTTATGGACCTGGTATGCTAAGTGAAATAAGAATTCAACAATGAATGTAAGTATGTTCTCAAATATTTGAAGGTGGGTTTGCATATATTTCTATTTAAGTAGTTGAAGTAATTATTTAAAAGCAAAATGTTATGTTTGAAATAAACACACATACAAGTTTTGTCACACCATCCTTTTGGGGACTTTTCCATGGGCAAACATACACATAGAACCAATAATTTACTCTTTAGTGGCAATCAATAAATTGAAAGGGTTCCTGTTACTGCCAATGAGACTTCTGGCCCACTCTCATGAGCAAACAGTTCTAGTTGTCTCAGGTTTCAAGGATGTCATTCACTATAGCAAACACACCTTAATTTAGCCTTTTCTTTACTAAGGGTACCATCATTTTCTTTTTTTTTCTTTTTTTTAAACAGTGTCCTGTCTAGCTATCGCCATAGTGTTCCGCTTGTTTTATGCATATAAATAGCTGTATTAGAATTATGTAGGGAGTTTTACAGATTATACGGATACTGCAATGTAGGTAGAACAGGAAAGGAAAAATTGAAAAAAAAAAAGAGAAAAGATGAAAGAAAGAGGAGATCAAAGGGAGATAATGATAAAACCTTTTCGGTACCAATTTATATGTATTGTTACTTTTGTCAAATTTTAGTTATTTCTGTGACCATTGAGAAGTTTTACTCCTGTAATGGAGGTCCAAAAAACATTTTTGTCCATGTGTATATACATATGGAACATATGTGTATATATATATATATATATATATATATATATATATATATATATATATATATATATATATATATATATATATATATATATATATATATATATATATATATATATATATATATATATACAAATATGTAATTATATATCCAATTTATAATTTCTACAAAAAACACTCATCTTTAAAGCCGTTACCATGATGATTTCCTCATCTGGGTAATAAAGTTAGACTCGTGGCTTTATTGCATACACGTCTCTAAATTAGCACATTAAAAAAATGACAAGAACTTCTAAATTTTACTCCTAGTGGTCCTACATTTTCCAAGCGATGTTTCATATTTTATTAATAAAAAGACAAAGTACTTAAGGTCCTTTGCTGCAAATTCCTTTCTATGAAAAGCTTTGGTTTATATAAAAATAACACAACATCAATGCTTTAAAGCAGAGGTCTTCAACAGGCTGTACTGCATGGGGGTCACGAAAGTTTTGGTTGATTAAACTTTTTTTTACATTCCCTCCTGTAATTTTTTTTACACTAATTGAAATTACTTTAAATCCACATTAACATGAATTCAACACACTGAAGTAAAACAGATAAATGGAGGCAGAAGATGTCTTTCACTAATCTATGCACACATTCAGTGACACACAGGAGCTTTTTCAAGCTGGGCACCGTTTCATTCACAACACCTGTCCCATCAACCAGGAATCACAATCAGAAATACTTTCATAATCCCAGGGCAAAATTACTTTCGTTATATGACACCATCTGTAATAGAGTGACTATATACAAACTGGCCCTAATTATATATAGGGCCAGTTTGATATAACTGGCCCAATATATAATTAGGGTGTTCCCGCTCCATCTTGCCTTCAGTTTGGGGGTCCTTAGCCTGGAAAACGTTGAAGACCCCTGCTTTATAGAAATATTTGCAGGTTTATTTTTTCACAGATGTAAAGAGTATTGTTTTGGTGATTTACAGCCAAAGTAGCTTGCCACTCAGCCCACTGCTGCACAGGTGGTCGCTGCTAAAACAGCAGCACCTGCAACAATTATACCAACGTTTAATATGCCAATAAATAATTCATTCCAATCAAGTCAAGCAAGTGACAGCTTAGAACAAATTTTCACTTTGTACCTGGGGAAAGTTCCAAAAAAAGTTAAAAACAAACCACTGGACTTTGTTTTCCAAGTTTGAAGACGTTTCGTGTCCCATCCAGAAAGCTTCCAAAATTCAAAATGTCTGGGTTAGCGATCAGTTCCAGGCTTTAAAGAACAACCCAACAAAGCCTTGTAATGACTTAGAAAACATGAAATTTGAACCGTAAACAGGTCCACCCCTTAGTAACGGGGAGTCGTTGATGTCATTGTTGGCCTGCAAAAACACCAAAACTGGCCCATGCCTCTGTAACGGGGAGCCGTTAGAGGCGTTATTAGCCTGGCTTGCAGGAGCAATGTTTTGATCAGAAGCATGGTGATGAGGATTGAGATGATAGCAGGAAGGAATCAACTCTATCACTGCATTGTAGGTTTTTAGGAGCTGGAACCTGAGTCCATCCCCTTTGTTTAAGGTTGTTTTTTTCTCTCTTTACATATATGGCTTCCTTCACACCCCTTTCAAACCATCTGTCTCCTTTGTTCAAAATGTGAACATTCTGGTCCTGAAACGAATGATCATGTCCTTAAGGTGTAGACGGACAGCCGAATCTTGTCCGGAGGAGGTAGTTAAGCCATGCGTCTGTGGGAGGTTGTTTTGTTTCTCCAATATAAAGATCTTAGCATCCCTGACAGAACCTGGGTGTCTTTACAAGCATTCCTGATGAAAGTAGAATAGCCACCAGACCTTGTGCTGCAACACAGCAAGATTTTGGATCGCAAAAAAATACATAACTAAATTTAACCCAAAAAATAAAGAACTGAGTGTGTGTTTTAGAATACCAGCTTCTGCTGCAGCAGCATGGTCATTGAAAAATAAAAAAAATATTTTTTCGAGCTCATTCTTCTAATGAAAATCAATAATAGGTAATTATACATAAAGAATGATCACAGAGCCCTTAGTACAAGGATCCATGTCTGTGCTTGAATTTAACTGACATCTCTTTTATTGACTTCAGAGTATCGCTTTTGGAGAAACGATAGTCTGAGCGAAAGGAAGGAGAACAGAGCGCAATTCATCGGTACAGCAGGAAGAACTGGATAAGTTTTCTAAAGGAATCTAACGCAGCAGGTTGAGCTGTTGATTTCGGCAGGACTGTGATGCTGATTGGATTATGAGGAGGTTTGGTTGAATGGGAAATATCTGCTTCACTGACAGATGAGCCTCTGATTGTTTGAGGGTGAACTATCCAGTTTATTCAGTTGAATTTCTGCCTAGACCTCATAAGTCAGACCTCTTATTGCTTACAGTTTTACTATAAACTGAACCTTGAAGTCAAGTTTTCAGCAGTACGAGTTGGATCAGTCTCAGGTAAGAACAAAGAAAAAGGTGTATTGATACCCTTTCTAGTTCTGCTATTGAAGCATTTATTAGTAAATATTAATTTTTTTTTTTATCATCTTTTTTTAAGTTAGATTTATAAAATCTTAATCACTATGTTTTCCTCTCTGAAACGTCATATAGTAGGAAGGAGATTGCTATCAGTTATAAAACATTACGTCTAAAGTTTTCTCCTGAAAACAACAATTTTACCGGTGGTTAGAACCAGTCATGATTGTTTTAAAAGAAGCAAAACAAGATTTAGAAAATGTGGGTAAACTATTAAATGAGTAGAACAGAAAGCCATTTGTGGTTAAAATATCACAAAAATGTGTCTCTAGTTTGAATCATTAAAATATTCTCTACCATAATCACACAGCTAAAAAAAAAAGCAGAAATGTTATATACATTATTTTGAATAATTTAGAGCTGATATAAATGCTCTCCTGCTCCACCCATTACGTGAAGGTCTGTTCTAAATGTTTTCCTCCATGTTTGGGTTCTTGCTAAAATCGGATACATCTTTATTGTTAGGAACATCTTCAGTGAATTAATGGAATGGCCTAATGACCTCATTATTTGATTCAGGCATTTTAAAGTATACACACAACTTAAAGTTGCAGGACACTGGGCCTTCAGCCAGCAACATTGCATAATATTTAGCCACTAGGGGCACTAGACTGGTAACTTCTAGGGCTACGTCCAGTGAAACAACTAGCAACACTGCACTGTTGTGAAATGAACCAGTCTCTCTTGGTGTTTTAAATCTGATAACAGACCACTTTGAAAGTTTGAAATTACGATGTTCCTCATAAAGGGAAGGCTGCACTCATCCCTCTAGATTAAATCTTACATCAGAGAACTACAAATATTTCTGATCAGGTAAAAATCATGTTATTTTGTTTCATAACAACAACTAATTAGGGCTACCTTTTAGGTTTAAGGGGAGCTTTAAAGGAATAGTACACCCAAAACATGATTAGCCTTCATTTTCTACTCACCCCCATGCTGAACAAAAATCTGGAGTACTTTTTTGATATCTCAAATGCATCTGGAGATCTGGGAGGCTTCTTGCTGTCTGCTGACATTCAAATAATGGAGGTCTATGGCGCCCGAGACAGAAAGGTCCATAAAAGTCCACAAAAACGTGTCAATATTCCTCCATACTGCTCGTCCAATGTAATCCAAGTGTCCTGAGTGGGTAGCATCCAGAATTTACTCGAAACGAAGTCATTTAGAACGTTTTAGAGCCTAAACAGTAGTGTATAGGATTTCCTAATAGCGCCCCCATGCGCGCTCACGATTCTACGGAAGCCGGCAGACCAAACCGGAAGAAGGTGCGCATTCAGCGTCTGCTCTTCCAATAATGCAAGCGTAGAAGAAGAAATGTGCTGTTTACCTGTGCAAAGAAAGAAACAACGAAAGAAAAATGTCTGAGGACTTCAGTGTTGAGGAAGAGCATGAGTTCTTTGCCGAGCTGAATGCGCTGGTTTGGTCTGCCGGCTTCCGTAGAATCGTGAGCGCGCATGGGGGCGCTATTAGGAAATCCTATACACTACTGTTTAGGCTCTAAAAACATTCTAAATGACTTCGTTTCGAGTAAATTCTGGACGCTACCCACTCAGGACACTTGGATTACATTGGACGAGCAGTATGGAGGAATATTGACACGTTTTTGTGGACTTTTATGGACCTTTCTGTCTCGGGCGCCATAGACCTCCATTATTTGAATGTCAGCAGACAGCAAGAAGCCTCCCAGATCTCCAGATGCATTTGAGATATCAAAAAAGTACTCCAGAGTTTTGTTCAGCATGGGGGTGAGTAGAAAATGAAGGCTAATCATGTTTTGGGTGTACTATTCCTTTAAGTCACGTGATACATTGAGCAACGGATCTGACCCTCTGAAATTACATAGGAAAGTTTTAGAGAAGCATTATTACACACCAGAGTGCCATAAATTAACCTGAACAATCATTTAATATAGTTTAAACTAGACTAATATCTGGGTTCAAAGTTGAACAGTGTTGCTTTAAAGGAAGTTTCATTAGATTAAGTTTGTAGTTCCACGTTTCCTTACCTGCTGTAGCAGTCGTAATTGTAGGGTCCCTTTAAGATACTCTGGTATTGCTACTGTACTGCTTCTCTGTGGAGAGCATAATAATCATGTCATGCAGAGTGATACAGGTACTAAGATGGACATGTTAATTCCCTATTTTTCTTAGTAATGTTATGGGTTGGTCTGGACTGTTTAAGAATATAGCAGCTGTTCAATCGGGCTTTGCAAGGTTGGTGAAGAGTGTGTTTATTAAAGGACAACACAGTGGAATTCCCAGTGCTACTGTGGTTGTGAGTTTTTGACTGTCCTCTCCTTCCTTAAACCGAACCCTAAGTGTTACACTGCCTTTATTTTCTCATTTAATTCACTTGTTCTTTCTGTTTTTCTTTTCACATATTCTGTTCATGAAAATTGCTTTATGTTATGTAACTGATAAGTGCTATAAAAATAAACTTGCCTTATTCTGCTTAAATATCTTGGAGAATAAGCCTTTATGTTTGTGCTCTCTGAATCACACTCTGCAGGTAACAAGACATCAGAGTTTAATTCGACTACAATCATGGAAGAACTATGTGAGTAGACCTGAATATGTCATTTAATAATCTATTTATCCTTTATCTAGACTCTTTCTGCAATTTGTTTTGTGTGTTTTCATTTACATTTTGTGTTTCATAAAACAGGTAAAGCCATCATTACAGCAGCTGCAGTAGGTAGGTATGAGTCTCTTCATGGCTTTCAGAAAAATCCTGAAAAGTTAACTTGTGTTTCCTCTGCTGTGGTCTTGCAGGAGGTACCGTGGTTCTGACTCCTGCTGTTCTGACGGGAATAGGCTTTGGTGCAACTGGAATAGTAGCAGGCTCCATAGCTGCTCAGCTGATGTCAAATTTTGGATCTACCTGGTTGATGAGTCTCTTGCAATCCATAGGTAAATTCAGGGCTGATTTTTCATAAATATATTTTGTATGGATGTTGTTTTTAAAGATAGAAAACTTGCAAATGTGATAATTAAGAATGAGGAAATAAAACAAACTGCATATAAGATAAACTTATCGACTACAGCTGAGGGACCTCAGATTTTTTTTTTGTCTTTTACTACAGGTGCCACTGGAATGGGATGGTTTGGAAATTCACTATGGGGCGTGTTCGGAGGTTTTATAGGAAATCAGATATCATTTATCTGCAATATAACTGTTGTGTATAAAGACACCGAACCATAGCATTGATGTGAAATTGATGACCATTGATCTATAAAGTCTCCAAATTCTGTTCTGCCTTTTAATAGATGTTTTCATATCCTCCTTAGCTAGCCACTGCAAGTAGATGATGTATTTAGACTATATGAAAGATTTTTTTAAGCATTGTTAAGCATTTGTTATTTTATCTTTTAAACTTCAATGAAATAAATTGTATTGATGATCCTTCAAGGTTTTTAATAAGACAACAGAGATGTTTTACCAGGGTGTCCTAACAATGATGCAAAGTGGTCAAATGTGAGATGAAATCTAAGGTTTGTCTTTTAGTCGCTCCAGTAAACAGAAGAGTTTTTTCTTGCTTTGGATCATTTTAAAGTAAACTGTATTTGTTCTGAGCATCTTAAAGGAATAAATATTAGATCTGGGTGATTAAAGTTATTTCAACCAACTAATTGTCTACTTATTTTTTGCTGTCTCTTTATGTCTTTCTCTTTAAAAAGATAACCACATTTTTGTTTCAGTATAACTCACATGTTGTTGGAAAAGGAACCAATCAAATACCTGACCTTTACTTTTTGATGACAATTTCAAACAATGGCCAGGTATCAAATGCAAGAAATATATCATACTAGTATGTTATATGATAATTATTTTATTTATTCAGCCAACCACAAAATAGGCTTAAATCAGAGGCGTTTCATTTTTCTGAAGATGAAAACAAGCTGACAGAATTGAAAAATACTCCTGAATAGGGGCTCTTTCTGTCAGACAGATTTGAGGATGAGCTGATATAGTCAGCATTTCAAGGTTTGATGACTGATATAGAGTCTGTTAAATATAACTTTTTTGTCCTAAGTACTTTCAAATACTTATGAAAAATACACTATACATAGTTTTATCATTCTTTATTTTCTTTAATAATTATAATCATTATTACCTCCAACTCAATTGCTGAACTCTTTTTCTTCATTTATAGCCACTCCCAAAACTATGGAAGTAAATCTGTGTCGCCAGGAATTTGAATTAAAAATGCCACTGAAATTTAAATGTTGTATGTTTGTACTTACTGTCTCGGTGTTAAAATATATGCGGAACACATTTTTGGCCTAAAAAAAATTGATTGTCATTTTTTCTACACAGTTGAAATTTCATTTGTTATTTTCTCTAAAACCTAAAAATTCACATTACTATTTCAAAGTGATAACATTTTCAATACTTATTTTTCAATTTAATTTTTCAGTGTTAAAAAAAAATCTGCATTTAAAAGAAATTCTACCTTTAAAAATTCAAACTCAGTATTTTCAGCCTCCTGAGATTCAACTGGCTCTATTTCACTGTCTTAAATTCGGCATCTAAATTCAGTGTAAAAAGGGAAGGGGTTACTTCAGGTTACAGACATTAGCAATGGATTGTGGTGTCCAACACCCAGCCAATCCCGTTACGTTTTCTTGGTCACGTGACGTGACGCTCATACTGAAGGAAAACCAGCATGAGGGAAAAAACAAAACAAAACAAAAAAAACAAACAAAAAAAAACAAAACAGGATGACGGAGTCGGTCATGCAAGCCAACGCTAACTCAACGGTGAGTTTCTTACTTTAATTTTTCTGTAGTTGAGTTAGTGTTAGCTTGCATGACCGCTGTAGGTACCAGATTGACTCGGGCTGCCAGATTGACTCGGGGGCCTGCGCCTTTTGATGACGTCACAATACATAATTGTTTTAACGTTTGCACAATTGCGCAAAACATTTTGATTGGTCTGGACAGCTTACTAAAGTAATTATAGCGGGGTGTAGGTTTTATTTGAAAGCGGGATTGCGGTTTGTAAACGGACAATTTTACGAAGAAATTCTCCATGGTCCCTGCGCCTTCCGATGATGTCACCGAATTCGCCATGGGCCTTGCGCCTCCCGATGACGTCACATTATGGCAACGCCACTCAAACAAACTACATTGAGCCCGCGTTCTGCATTTGTAACGAGAATAAATTCAGGAGAATGAAGCTAAAGGGATACAAAAAATAAACTTGTAATATTACAAAAACAAAAATACTACGAATACAAAGTATATTCAGAGATTAAAGGAATAGTACACCCAAAACATGATTAGCCTTCATTTTCTACTCACCCCCATGCTGAACAACACCCTGGAGTACTTTTTTGATATCTCAAATGCATCTGGAGATCTGGGAGGCTTCTTGCTGTCTGCTGACATTCAAATAATGGAGGTCTATGGCGCCCGAGACAGAAAGGTCCATAAAAGTCCACAAAAAACGTGTCAATATTCCTCCATACTGCTCGTCCAATGTATTCCAAGTGTCCTGAGTGGGTAGCATCCAGAATTTACTCGAAACGAAGTCATTTAGAATGTTTTTAGAGCATAAACAGTAGTGTATAGGATTTCCTGAAAGCGCGCACATGCGTGATCACGACGCTACGGAAGCCGGCAGACCAAACCAGATGAAAGTGCGCATTCAGCGTCTGCTCTTCCAATAATGCAAGCGTAGAAGAAGAAATGTGCTGTTTACCTGTGCAAAGAAAGAAAAATGTCTGAGGACTTCAGTGTTGAGGAAGAGCATGAGTTCTTTGCCGAGCTGAATGCGCTGGTTTGGTCTGCCGGCTTCCGTAGCGTCGTGAACGCGCATGTGCGCGCTTTCAGGAAATCCTATACACTACTGTTTATGCTCTAAAAACATTCTAAATGACTTTGTTTCGAGTAAATTCTGGATGCTACCCACTCAGGACATTTCGTTTCCCATCCAGAAAGCTTCCAAAATTCAAAATGTCTGGGTTAGCGATCAGTTCCAGGCTTTAAAGAACAACCCAACAAAGCCTTGTAATGACTTAGAAAACATGAAATTTGAACCGTAAACAGGTCCACCCCTTAGTAACGGAGAGTCGTTGATGTCATTGTTGGCCTGCAAAAACACCAAAACTGGCCCATTCTTCTGTAACGGGGAGCCGTTAGAGGCGTTATTGGCCTAGTTTGCAGGAGTGATCTTTTGGTCAGCTGCATGGCGATGAGGATTGAGATGATAGCAGGAAGGAACCAACTCTATCACTGCATTGTAGGTTTTTAGGAGCTGGAACCTGAGTCCAACCCCTTTGTTTAAGGTTGTTTTTTTCTCTCTTTACATATATGGCTTCCTTCACACCCCTTTCAAACCATCTGTCTCCTTTGTTCAAAATGTGAACATTCTGGTCCTGAAACGAATGATCATGTCCTTAAGGTGTAGACGGACAGCCGAATCTTGTCCGGAGGAGGTAGTTAAGCCATGCGTCTGTGGGAGGTTGTTTTTTTTCTCCAATATAAAGATCTTAGCATCCCTGACAGAACCTGGATGTCTTTACAAGCATTCCTGATGAAAGTAGAATAGCCACCAGACCTTGTGCTGCAACACAGCAAGATTTTGGATCGCAAAAAAATACATAACTAAATTTAACCCAAAAAATAAAGAACTGAGTGTGTGTTTTAGAATACCAGCTTCTGCTGCAGCAGCAAATATGGTCACTGAAAAATTTAAAAAAATATATTTTTTCCAGCTCACTCTTCAAATGAAAATCAATAATAGATAATTATACACAAAGAATGATCACAGAACCCTTAGTACAAGGATCCATGTCTGTGCTAGAATTTAACTGACATCTCTTTTATTGACTTCAGAGTATCGCTTTTGGAGAAACGATAGTCTGAGCGAAAGGAAGGAGAACAGAGCGCAATTGATCGGTACAGCAGGAAGAACTGGATAAGTTTTCTGAAGGAATCTAACGCAGCAGGTTGAGCTGTTGATTTAAGCAGGACTGTGATGCTGATTGGATCATGAGGAGGTTTGGTTGAATGGGAAATATCTGCTTCACTGACAGATGAGCCTCTGATTGTTTAAGGGTGAACTATCCAGTTTATTCAGTTGAATTTCTGCCTAGACTTCATTAGTCGGACCTCTTATTGCTTACAGTTTTACACTAAACTGAACCCTGAAGTCAGGTTTTCAGCAGTACGAGTTGGATCAGTCTCAGGTAAGAACAAAAAAGGCGTATTGATGCTCTTTCTTGTTCTGCTAACGAAGCATTTATTATAAAATATTAAATTTTTTATCATCTTGCTTTAAGTTAAATTGATAAAAGCTTAATCAGCATTTTTTCCTTTCTGAAATTTCATATCGTTGGGAGGAGATTGCTATCAGGCATAAAACGTTACGTCTAAAGTCTTCTCCTGAAAACTAAAATTTTACCAGTGGTTGGACCCAGTCATGATTTCTTAAAACAAGCAGAAAAAGATTGAGGAAATCTGGGAAAACTATCAAATGAATAGAACAGAAAGCTATTTGTGGTTAATATATCACAACGTGTCTCTAGTTTTAATCATTACAATATCACACACTTCAAAAAAGCAGAAATGTTACCGTATATATATTATTTTGAATAATCTAGACCTGATATAAATGCTCTCCTGCTCCACCCATCATTTGCAGATCTGTTCTAAATGTTTTCCTCCATGTTTGGGTTCTTGCTAAAATCGGATAAATCTTTATTGTTAGGAAAATGTTCGGTAAATTACTGGAATGAAAATATAATTATGTTGATTCATAAAAAAAAAACAAAAAACAACAACAAACTAATTAATGAATAGATCCTGAGACTTTATTCTTTTGTAGGACGTGCAGTATTGACAAAGTTTGCTGTAAAACTGCTCTGACTCAAATTATTTGTTCAGCTTTATTTTATTCAATAATACTTTTCCGCAGCAAATAGAAAAGGGTGGCGATGGACTACATGTCAGACCCATACCATATTTGGAAATGTCACTATCATGAAATTAAATTAAGGGGGCTATATTTCCGATATATTCTGTATATTTCAGCAGTTTGTCCCTTTTGTATCTTTATTTCTTACCGCTATTAAAACCTAATAATATCAATAATATGAATTCAGCAGTGGTATCTCACATTTTTATAGAACATCTTGATCCATTATCTTCATTAAATTGACGTCACAATAGGCTTAAAATAAATAAAGGAATAAATAAGAAGGAAAAAAATTGTGGCTGTGATGTTGTTATGCCATATGCCATCATATCTTTTGAAATTTGGGAACCAGTGTCCATATTTCATCTTGACATGATGATGTGGAATCAACTGTGGAATCTCTGCAATAACCCCCCTTTCAGCCAAGGCCTCCACAGGCAAGTCACATGGCAAGTCACAGAGGTGTGACCAACCACCACCCCCCTCTATGTGAGGACAGACAAAACAACACAAAAGCACACAGGATTCTTTCTTTTTTGCCTCTTCTGCTCCTGAGAAAGGTTTGCGGGTCTGGCATAATTAGGGACAGAACAAACAATATGTCTTTTGATGATGCTAATCATATCATATGTTTACTGCTGAGTAGAGAAAATGCTAATTGACGCTAAAGAATGGACTGCATGCTACGCTATGCTACAGGAATATGTGTTGAGCTGTTGCTAAAGCTTGGACCAGCTTTATTTCACTAAGAGTTTAAACACTGACATAACATTAGTGTTCATATGTTCCTCGTATGCTCATTACATTTCCATTCCAAGTATGACCAAGAGTCATTTAGTGGAATCCTGATGTCTATTCGCTGCTAGCTATTTCAAAGAGGGTAAAGAATCATTTAACTAAAGGTTTTTGGTTCTTGATTAAGCAAATCATTACATAAAACATTATTTGGCCAATAATGTTTTATTCACCTCATGGATTTGCATTGTGAATTGGTATGAAAACATTCCAATTTCTTTAAAATTAGTGAAAAGCTAATTTGATCATATCCCAAATTCTTCCAGATAAACTTTGGTTTCAAACACAAAATCCATCTTAAACTGTAATATGGTTTTCAACGATGTTCCCCTTTCCCTTTGTACATACCGTAGTAGTTTAGTTTAGTTTAGTTGAGTTTTACTAGTCTTAGCTGGGAGTGTTAAACTGAAATATGTTTGACTTGGAGCTGAATGATTTATGTTAATAAACTCTTATATTTTGAACAGAAGTTGTGGTGAATTTATTCAATGTATGTGCAGAATTAACTGTTTGACCATGATTAGTGCTCGAATCACTCTTTCATTTATTGTTCTAACACACAGTTAGTAGGACTGTGAGTCATAAACAATATATAACAGCTGGAATAATATCTGATTAAATAAGATATTTTACCACGCCTACTGGGGAGGGCAATAAGCATCTTAAAGTATCAGAAATATAAATTCCCAGCTGGCTGGGAATAGAATTGAAAATAAAATCACAACAATGTTGTGGTGAGTACTGCAGCTGAGAGAAACCTTTTTTTCTATCAAAAGGGAAGATAAACAAAAATAATAATAACCCTGACAAGGGTAAAGTAGGGGATGCACTTTACTTTTTTGGATGGCTTTTAATTTCCATTTTTTTATTTAACTTAGCCCTTTGATAGCTTCCACAGCCAGCCGTGGCTACCCACTACCTCCTTCCTTCTCTGGTGCTCTCCCTGCCCACTGCCTGCCTCCAATCTACCACTATTAGCTCTCTTCACTCCAGGGTTACGGCTGGTCACCTCTGCCCTGCTCTGGTTCACACTGTCCAAGTTTTTCTTCTGGTCTCCTGCTGCTCCTGACTAAGCTCCTGCAATGGTTCCTTTTTCAAATATGGTATGGAGCTGTCATGCGGTCCAACTCTGCCCCTTTCTGTTTGCTAAGGCGAGACCTTCCTAATTCTATTTACACTGTTCTGTTTAAACTACTGGGGGCAAACCGGAGTCCTCGAAGGCTGGTATCCTGCAACTTTTAAATGTGTCACTTGTTTAACACACCTGAATCAAGTGGCTTAATTTCCTCCTCAGCATGCAGATGAGTTTTGGAAAGTCCTGCTAATGGCCTGATTATTTGATTCAGACTGGACTGGTAACTTCTAGGGCTACGGCCAGTGAAACAACTAGCAACACTGCACTGTTGTGAAATGAACCAGTCTCCCTTGGTGTTTTAAATCTGATAGCAGACCACTTGGGAAGTTTGAAATTACAATGTTCCTCAAGAAGGGAAGGCTGCAGTCATTCCTCTAGATTAAATATTACATCAGAGAACTAAAAATATTTCTGATCAGGTAAAAATCATGTTATTTTGTTTCATAACAACAAATAATTAGGGCTACCTTTGAGGTTTAAAGGGTGCTGCTGCAGACTGCTGTAAAGTGGAGCTTTAAGTCACGTGATCCATTGAGCAATGGATCCGACCCTCTGAAATTACATAGGAAAGTTTTAGAGAAGGTCAGAGTATTCTGAGAATCAACACCAGAGTGCTATAAATTAACCTGAACAATCATTTCATATAGTTTAAATGGGAAAAATATCTGGATTCAAAGTGGACAGTGTTGCTTTAAAAGAAGCATCATCAGATAAAGTTTGTAGTCCAACATTTCCTTTACTTTCCTTTAGTTTCTGCCTAAATTGTTATGTCTGTTTTTCTGTTCTGTTCTTGAACATCAATTTAAATTGTAATGTAACTGATAAGTGCTATAAAAATTAACTTGTCTTATTTTGCTTAAATATCTTGGAGAATAAGCCAGTGTCTTCATGTTGTTGCTCTCTGAATCACACTCTGCAGGTAACAAGACATCAGAGTTTAATCCTACAATCATGGAAGACCTATGTAAGTAGACCTGAATATGTCATTTAATAATCTATTTATCATTTATCTAGACTCTTTCTGCAATTTGTTTTGTGTGCTTTCATTTACATTTTGTGTTTCATAAAACAGGTAAAGCCATCATTGCAGCAGCTGCAGTAGGTAGGTATGAGTCTCTGCATGGCTTTCAGAAAAAATCATGAAAAGGTAACTTGTGTTTCCTCTGCTGTGGTCTTGCAGGAGGTACTGTGGTTCTGACTCCTGCTGTTCTGACGGGAATAGGCTTTGGTGCAACTGGAATAGTAGCAGGCTCCATAGCTGCTCAGCTGATATCAATTTCTGGAGCTTTCTGGTTGTTAGAACTCTTCTATTCTATAGGTAAATTCGGTGCTGATCTCTCATAAATATAATTTATATGGATGTTGTCTTTAAATATATAAACTTGCAAATGGGAAAATTGAGAATGAGCAAATACACCAAACTGCATATAAGATTAACTTGTTATCGACTACAGCTGAGGGATTTTTTTTTTGCTTTTATTATAGGTGCCACTGTAATTGCATGGATTGCTAAAATGCTATGGGGCCTGTTCGGATGGAATATAGCAAATCTGATATCATCTCTCTGCAATATAACTGTTGTGTATAAAGACATCGAACCATAGAACTGATGTAAAACTGATGACCATTGATCTATAAAGTCTCCAATGCTCTTCTGACTTTCAATAGATGTTTCATTATCTTCCTTAGCAAACCACTATGAGTAGATGATGCATTTAGACTATTTTAGACTAAAGATTTTATTTCAAAGTCATTTGCATTATATTAAACATTTGTTATTTTGTGCAACTACACATTTGGGTGTTTCTTTTAAACTTCAGTAAAATATATTGTACTGATGAGCCTTCAGGGTTTTTATTAAGACAAGAGAGATGCTTTTACCAGGGTGTCCTAACAATGATGCAAAGTGGTCAAATGTGAGATGAAATCTACGGTTTGTCTTTTAGTTACCCTAATAAACAGACTCTTCCTCTTCCTGTGGATCAATTTAAAGAAATCTGTAACTGTTCTGACCACCTTAAAGGAATAAATATTTGATCTGGGTGAATAAAGTAATTTAATCATCAACTGATTTTTCACTGTCTCTTAAAGTCCTTGATCAGGTTTCTAAAATAAGACTGTTTTGTCTAACATAAAACAATATTATGAGAATTCATCTTACAGTGTCTTGTAAGTTAATTTCCATTAATGGTTAATTATCATTTACCAATTTCCAATAATATGCTTCTGGTGGCCTCTGTATAGCTTCAACTTAACAAAAAAGGATAATTTTATTTAAATAAACATGTGTGTTTTAAGGTTTTGGAGAACAGGTTAGGGAGGTTGGATCAGTAATGTTTATTTGCTGTATTTGTTGGAGTTTAAATATTTTTGTCACAACAACGGCTCAACAGAATGATTGCAATTCAATATGTTTCAAACAATAACCACATGTTTGTTTCAGGATATCTCATGTGTAGTTGGATAAGGGACAAATCAAATACCTGACCTTTAGCTTTTGATGACAATTTTAAACAATGGCCAGGTCTCAAATGCAAGAAATATATCATACCAGTAAATTATGTACGGTAATAATTATTTTATTTAGGCTTAAATCAGAGGCATTTCATTTTTCTGAAGATGAAAAAAGCTTACAGAATTAAAAAATACTCCTGGATAGGGGCTCTTTCTCTGTGAGACAGATGAGAGGATGAGCTGACATAGTCAGCATTTCCAGGTTTTATGACTGATATTGAGTCTGTTAAATGTAACTTTTTTCCCTAAGTGCTTTAAGACACTTATACAAAATACACTATAAATGATATTTCTCATTCTTTATTTTCTCTAATAATTATAATCATTATTACCTCCAACTCCATTGCTGAACTCTTCATCTTTATTTACAGCCACTCCCAAAACTGCCATAAACACTGAACCGGTTTGTTTGAACACAATTACTAGTAATTAAATTATGAAGTAATTTCAATAACTTGGTTGTTGTTACTTTCACTGACGTTACACATACATTTAGGGTGTTGACATCTTGAAAGAACAACCTAAAGATTTTGAAGCAGTTTGGTATGATGAGGGAGGAGAAACCTGAGATATGACATTCCCTTCAACCTTATCCAAATAAAGTACAATACCCAAACCCTTGTAACATTATGTGTCATCTAGCACATAGATTGAAAGGTCACAGAGCTTAAAGGAAGCCTCAGCAAGTTCCTTTTTATCAGCTTTCACAGTCACACTAAACAAAGCAAAGATTCACAGCATTTTAACTGATAACCAGTAAAAACAATTTTATGAAGTATAATTTCACAGGATGAAAAAAATAAATACTAAAGAATACTAATGTGGTGCCATATGCCATAATCATGGTTTTGGACATTGAGAACCAGTCTCCATATTTCATCTTTCCCATGAAGCTGCCTGGGGTGCACGTTGGAAGAGGCAGCAAAAATGGAGATCGAGGCAAAAAGCCCAGATCTCCAGAATGATCAAGGATAACTCATCATGGTTGACTATTCTAAACCAGACTGCGACACATTTCTCTAGAGTTTTAGAACTTACAGAGCCAGACTGGACAAGAAGGCCTTCTCATGATCCCTGGTGTGAGCCACTGAGACAAAGTAAACCCCTGCGTTGCTGTTAGCCTGACTACTAAGCTGCTGTTGGATGAAACTGAAGCCTTCCAAATGGATATGGACAATAAGGTTTGCAGGTCTGGCACAATTTGGGACAGAACAAACAATATGTAATTTGATGATTTTGATCATTTCATGTGTTTACTGATGAGTAAAGACAAAGCTAACAGGATGGACTGCATGCTATGCTTTGCTACAGTAATATGTTTTGAGCTGTTGTTGAAGTTTGGAAAAGCTTTATTTCACTAAGAGTTTGAACACTGATATAACATTAGTGTTCATGTGTTCCTCATATGCTCATTACATTTCGATTATCAACTATGTTGGGAGAATCATCCAATGGAGTGCTCATGTCTATTCACTGCTAGCTATTTCAAAGAGGGTAAATAATCTATTAACTAAAAGTTATTGGTTCCTGATTAAGCAAATCATTTAATAAAACATTATTTAGCCAAATAATGTTTTATTCACCTCATGGATTTGCGTTGTGAATTGGTCTGAAAACATTCCAATTTCTCTAAGTTAGTGAAAAGCTAATTGGTTAAGACAGCTACGAGACTTTTTCTATGTAGAGAACATGCACATGCATATGTTGATGACAAAGAAGAAGATTAAAAAATGGTTTAGAGACAGTGGCACTAAGAGAGTCTATTCATGTTAGGTATTTTGGAGACAAAGACAGAGAGGCCACATTGAGATGGTTTGGACATGTATAAAGGAGGGATAGTCAGTACAACGGTAGAAGGTTGTTGAGCCTGGAACGGCCAGGCATGAGGTCAAGGGAAGACCAAGGAGGAGATTTATTGCTGGAATTAAAGAGGGCATGAATTTGTGGGTATTTCTCATTAAATACTAGTGAGGCTTAACCTCCCCTGTAAATTCTGTAAAATTATTGGTAAAATATGAATTGTCAAACTTCATAAATGTAGTCATTAAACTGAATTAAATATATACTAACATATGCAGTAAAATCTTTACAGTTTACCAGATCATACAGTCAAATTGATTCAAGTTATCTATCTAAGGAAAACCAGTTGATTGCATCGACTCATTGACTCGGATGAAATCCCTCATACTAGGCATGCTGGTAGCGACAGTGGAGAGGAAAAACTCAGTTTTAACAGGACGAAATCTCAAGCAGAACCAGACTCAGTGTGAGCGGCTCCATCCAGAAAACATACAGCCAGGAAGACGAGCTCGAGCCAACTCCCATGTCAGAGGATGAAGAGAGCACATCCAGCCAGCAACAGTCTGAGAAAACAGACTACTACTATCTCCCATGCTCTTTTTAGTGCCTACACTATCAGATCAATACAGTCCACCTCCAGCAACATAGCAGCACCAACACCCTCAACAGAAGGTGTTAGATCTACCCATGAGGTAAAACAGAGACTCATTTCGCCATGTACTGACCTCTAACAAACATTTGAGTATGTTTGTTATGGTGTGTTGTGATTGGGTTGGTAAAATTCAACTGGTTGTATAGCAAGGTATGTTTCTATATCCTGTTTTAAATCTGTGCTCCATGTTCCCCCTTTTAACTTTGAGCACCTGCCGTTCCAAAGGTCTCTGCATGTCTCTGGCTTTTCTGAGAACAGGATATGCAGTAGGGGTGTAAATCACATCCATCATGGCGATTCGATTCAGTATCGATTTCCTGACCCAAAGATTCTATTATTTTCGATTCTCAAGAATACACCACGATTCGATTCGATTAATCGATTAAGCGGTTACATTTTTTTTTTATTATTATTATTTTTTTTACACCTTACAGGCTAAACAAAGTTTCAAGTTTGAAATAAATCAATGAAAGCTGTAATATCATTATGCATTTTCTTTAGAAACAACAGCAAATAACAGAAGTAGAAAAGTTGCATCAAAAAATACTGCAAAAATACTGCACAATATCAGTGTAATGAGTTCAATGCAATACCTTGGCTCCAAAGAAACTGTCCAACATATTTTTTTAGAATGTAATAAATATACTCAGGAAAGAGAGATGTTGTGTAGAGAGTTAGACAGGAATAAAAATAAACTAGATATAAGGGAATTGTTTCAAAGGTAATCTGGGGATGTAGTTTTTGGGAGTATTTTTAATTTTCTAAGAAGAACGGGTATTTTAGGGAGAATATAATAGTTTGTCTGGTCCATACTCCATTCTGGAAGGTGGCGGTAATGCACCTATAAGTTGTTTGCCAACCGCCATAAAAAAAAAAGAAGAAGGCTCCAAAGTGTCGACGTCACCGCCTCCTTGAGAGACGCTCCGCTGCTCCTCTCCCAGATTGTAGCTGACCGCAAACAGTGCAGCATCAGGAGGCCGGCTTGTTTTGTTTTTATGACCGAAATTGCGGAAAACAACTCGTGAAGTTTGACCCGCTAGAAGAGCGAGGTGCGCGAGAACGCTGGGAGCCTTTTTCCAGCTGGATCTCCGCTCTTTTTGTCCCTCCGTCGTCGTACTAAACTCGTCCCCACTTCCTCACCGCCTCGGCCGTATCTAGACCCACAGTGTGTAGCTCAGACCACGCTTCAATACTGAGCATGATTTAAAAATGTATGTGTGTGTCAAGCTTACTGCAACACACTGCTGTAAGAGTATAACCAGGAAGCGCGGTAGGAGGGCAAAATAGGTTTAGCGGCACCGCAGCACGGGAGGGAGAATTACACCCAGGAGCAAATGGATAAAAATAGACCGGAGGAAAAAAAAACATGAATCGATTATCTTGCGGACGTGTCGATGCATCGGATTGTCGGCTTTTGGATCGATGCATCGATACAAAATGATTATTATTTACACCCCTAGTATGCAGCATGAATATGGGTCAATTGGAACAGAAGCGTAGTAGTGACATCACCACACGCTTGTCTCGTTCTGCATTTTACCTCCTGTTATCAAAAGTCTCTAGATAATAATAAATTCTTACTTTTTTCATTTAGTTTAGGAATAACAGTTAACACAGTCAAATAAACACAAATCAAATTAATATTTTGCCAAATAAAACAAAACTATCAGCATCAGAGCCATTGGTCCTTCACACATGGCCATGCCAAGAGAAGGCTAATGCAGACGGCCTAAGGTCAACCCTGGCTGTGGTTTGCCACCATCAGAACATTTTTAAATAATGCACTAAATCTGTAAATAGGCCATATAGTGACGCTCAAAAGTATAATGTTCTTGCCTCAAATGATCTTAAAACATACTTTTATGAAACAACCGCAACAGAAAAGAGAACTTTTAACATATTACTCTGAGCTTTGTGAGCGCTTCCCTGGAAGCTGTTGCTGCTGCGGCGGTGCATGCTGGAACAGCTTTCAATCTCAAGAATGGACAAGTCTGCTCTGATGCATAATCAGTAAATAGGGAGGGACAACAACAACATCTGGGGCCTTTGGCTGTTCTCGGTCTTGTGCTCTTGTGAATTGGAACAGTACCATGGCTGAGGC